TGACGTTCAAGATTTTGATGTCTACCGCTCCGAGCCTCAGTTTCTACCTTGTAAGATTTTCTTATTACTTCATTTCTTGTTGGTTTGGCTTCTTTTTCTACGTCAAATGGATTCTTGATTAACAGATGTCAATAATTAAATATTTTAATCTATGTTGTGTTTTTTCTTGTTTTAGTTTAACACCCCATATGCGTAGATCATCTTTCAGTACGTTTCTTGAATTTCTTGCTGACTTCTATCTCGATCACTGCGTGTTTTTTTTTTTTCCTACGTTAGTGGACTGAGTTTGGACCGATTCTTGATTAATATATTTTTTTTCTCGATCATCTTTCAGTACGTTACTCATTTATATTTGTATTTTCTTTATAAATTACGTAGCAGATATATGTAGTAGGGGTGTGAGGGTGTCAATTAATTGGCCCAGATTTAATTTGGTCCATATTAGAATGGCCTACTCTTTGGTTCATATTAGAACTGGAACTGGCTGAAATGGATCCTCACTCCATTGGGGAGGGGCAGGGAGTGGCCATTCGGAAAGGGAATGGGATTCCGATTACACCCAATCAAACAATTGGAACCAGAATGAACCATTCTGATTCTGATTCCAGACCCCTAATCCCGCATATCAAACAGACCCTTAATCTTTTTTATCTATGTTTTATTTTTTTGATAAGTACAAAAATGTATTAACAGAGACAAAAGAGGATAACAGGCTGTCCCGAATATCCCGAATAATTACATCGATCACTACCTGAATTATTCATTAGAGAAGCAATTGAATGAAAAGCCCCATTAAAAGACCTAGGCAATAAACCTAAACATCAAAAAGAATGAAAAGACAACCCCATCTAAACAGCAAAAAGCTCCGCTTTCCACTGCAATTCATTCTACCTCCTGCAGCAAATAAAAATTCTTTCTCAGAATTATACATGCAAAAACTAGAAGAAACAACAGTATTCCTGTAAATTTGAACCCCTTGTTGATGTTTCAATTAATTTATGCATTTACAGTGGTTCCTACTTACGGTGGTTTGATAAAGGAAAGGTATTACTTTGTTCCAAGAGAGAAAAAATCACAGAATGCATCAAGACCAAATCGTGTGGTAACTCACCCTATTAAGGAAGGAGGTTGGTGGAAGGCTACACAAGGCAGTAAAAAGATTTTTGATGAAAAAAGGAGGATCGTGGGATACAAGAAGAGTCTTGTGTTCTACCGATACAAGAAGGATACTAAGAAATCTAGCAAATCTGGAGAAAAAACCAACTGGATTATGCATGAGTTCCGCCTTGCAGAAGATGATGGACAAGCAGGTGGCAAGTTCCAACAGTGGGTCCTCTGTAGAATTAAAGAGAACAAGAAAGAAGGTGTTGATAAAGAAGAAAGGCAAGGAGGAGGAAGAGGAGAAAACATGGTCGGGGATTATAGGAATCTCAATGATGCATTTGTGTCCTTAATCCCATCTTTAGAACAAGGAAATGAACATCAGCAAGAAACAGTATTGGAAAATCAACAGGGTGTACCAGTGTTTTTAGTGGATGAGGAAGAGACAGAAATGAATGAACTGGTGGAGATGATTGAAAATTCTCTTAGCTATTCTCCGAAAGTTCATACAGCTCATGCCAGTGTAGACATTGAAGAACAACAACAACAGCTACCACAACCACAACAAGAGGACAATGCAGTTCTTATGCAGGAGCATATCTACTCTGATGGAGTGTTCTACCAGCAGCAGCAACAACCACTATTGCCACAACCACAGCCCATGGAGATAACACTACAGTCAAGTCAACAAGAAAATAATGATGTGAATCTTGTGTATAATGTGATCCATGTTATGATATTTGGGTATTTGGGGTTGAATATCAAAGGAACACCAATATTAAGCAACAACCAGTGTTTTAAAAGCCGACCCAAAGGTCGAACTGTTTTTGTCTCCAGGTCATGGGTCACCAATTCGACCAACTGGGCCGAACGGTTCAGACCGTGCCACGTCAGCATATTTTATCGATAAATACATGTGTATATATGTATATATATATATATATATGTACAGATACATATTTTATCAATAAATAATGTATAACTATGATTTAGATATTATATATGTATTATTTTATATTTAATTTTTGTTTTTTAATTCAGTTTTTAATTGTTTATTTATGAAAATATTAAAAATTACAATTTGAGGCCAAAAAGGGTTTTTTTTCACGAAAATGGCAGGGTAAGGTGCTTATGTATTGTTGGGACACATGGATCTGGAAAAGTTACCCAAAATAAAAAAATCACCTCAATCGGACATCGGGGTGCAAAGTTATGGCCTCCTGAAGTTTGCATAAATTGTTAGTATGCAACTCACGACCCGATCACTGGGTCAGTTGGGTCAACGGTCCAACTGTCCAGGTCGAATGTTTTTTGGCATTTCTTTGGGGTTTACTCGAACCAGACCTCGAATCTTGACCAAGTGACGGTTCAAATGGTTCAACCGGTTGTGTTAACGACTGGTTGAAAACACTATCAACAACAAGGGAACAAGCCAAAAACAAATTATCATAAGAGAAAAACTTTTCCTTTGCTTTTCTTGTCATTTTTTCTTTATTTATCTTTTTGCACATTTTTTTTGTTATCTTTTATTTTATTACACATCTTCATTTATTTATATTTTTTATTACTTATATATTTAATGTATTTTTTCTTATTTTCATGTTTTTGCTTTTATTTTATTTTTATTACTACTTCTATTTTTCTATATTTCCACATTTTATTTGACATAATTGCCACTCTAATATCATTTTCATCAATTTTTCATTTCACTTTTATTTTTCCTTTTGGATGTATATATTATTGTCCACCTTATTCTTTTATATGTAAATACATATTATCTTATTATTGTATTAAACTATTTTGCTTCTACTTTTATTCATTTATTTCCGGAGAGATGGGGGTTGGGACTCACTAAGAAGGAACCCGATTTGGTTAACCACCGTTTACTAAAACTCTTCTTCTTCTCATAAGAAATTTATATAATATATATATATATAACAAATTTTCTATTCCTTGAAAACATACATACATCAAGTTCCTTGGAACCTATCACACTAGTAGAAAGAAAATACATACCATATACTAAAAGAACTGATAAAAACATACGAGGAAGGAATACCTCACCTGACTGGGGACTTATTTGCAATGTGACCTAAAACCGGCGATCTTCTGGAATGTAAAAGAAAAACGATGGTGGATGCTGTGTTCGAACAATTTCAGGATCTTCCTATGCCGATGGATCTCCTGCCAGTCGATTGATGTAGGTGGGGTTTCTAACTAGATCCAACCCAAGGTACAAATAGGATAAAATCCTTCATCGTCAATGAAATCTTAGACCGAAAAACAAGGGGGAGGGGAGATGGAAGAAAGATATCCGGGAAAGTGGGATACTATCAAATCTAGGGTAATCATGAAAAACCGAACAAATCGTTTCGGTTTTGACTTGGTATTTTCAAAAAAAACAAATATATAATGTGTATATTATAATTATGCGTATATAATATATAGTGCATATATATTCCTTTATAAAAAAAATATACATATATTATTATTGAATATATATGCATTATATATTATAAATATGTATAACTATAATATATAATGTATTATTTATTTTTGATAATATAATATTTTCTATTTATTATGTATAATATTATGAAATTAAAAATTGAAAAACCAACGATTAACTAAACTGATCGGTTTAGTACTAGTTTTTCAAAAACCAGTGCTTTGGTTTTAAAAAAAAAAAAGGGAGAATGACGGTTTAGCCCAGGGTAAGAATTCATAGGCACAAAGTACAATTGGGGTGGGTGCCAGGTCAGAATTGATACTAATTCACGGGCAGGTATGGGTGCATAGAGTGTGGTTTTTTGACCTTTTGAATGTTTATAGATTTGCAGTGGAAATCAGAAATATGCTTTAGGCCTATCTATACTTTTCCGTAAAAAAAAAAAAAAAAAAAAATCTCACAATTCGGCTAACCGAATCCTAAATAATCTTATTCAAAATTGTTGTTGCAACGAGTTTTTGAGAAGTTGATGGGCATTTTCATAATTTGGGGGTAATTTGGTAATTTGGATTTAAAAATGGTTAAATCCATTGGGCAATAATGATTTTGGGTAAAAAATGAATGGTGGAGATTAATGTTTTCAACCTGCTATTGACCCTGTCGATCGAATCATTCGAACCATCACCCAACCAAGATTTTGGGTTCGGTTAGTCAAGACCCAAAAACCGTTGTCTTGGTCAAGAACCGTTTAACCTAACCGATTCGACCCGGTGACCAGGTCGAGGGAAGGCAACGGGGTGGGTTCGATAAGGGTTTTGTAAATTGTAGACCCTACACGCCTTCCTAAACCTCCCAACCTGTACCCACTCCAAAACCCATAGCGGGTTGGATTTTGAGAATCCTAACCCTCCCCAAACATGAAAGTGCAAAATCCTCCCCGACCCTACCCTCCCCGCATTCAAGGGTAGGGTCAAGTTGAGTTTAAAACCCACATCTTATTTTCTATTATTTCTTGTCATATATAAGCAATACATAATTAAAATAACACAAATGAACATCAAGATTTCTAATTATTTGATTAGGACATGTAAAAAACACATAAACTAGCAATTATCCTTTACACAAGATTCAAAATATTATTAAATTCAACACCTAGTGACCTAGTACATAAATTTTATATGTTTTCCAACAATATGTGGGTCGGGTTTAACCTAATATCGTACCCTACCCTGTACGGGCCCATACCTGCCCCAAAACCCATCATTTAAGCAAAAAAAAATCCGCCCCATCGGGGAGGGTAGGGGCGGGTACCCACCGGTTAAGGTAGAAATTGCCATCCCTAACTGGGTTGTGGGTTGCACACTTAATGCATGCAAACTTTCAGAGGCCATAACTTTGCACTTAGATGTCCGGTTAGGGTTTTTTTTTATTTTGGGTAATTTTTCAAGATCTATGCATCCCAACGGTCCATTGGCACCTTGCCCTGCTATTTTCATGAAAAAAAACCCCTTTTTGGCCTCAAATTGCAATTTTTAATATTTTTATAAATAAAAAATAAAAAACTGAATTAAGAAACATAAATTACACTAGCGGAGACTTGTGCGATGAATGGGGTTTGTTAAGGAAAGCTAAACAATAAAACACATAAGAGTATACAATTGTTTTATATTTTATAATACTTTTAATAACTTTTTACAATACAAAAATAACAATAATTTATTTCAGCTAAGCTTGTTCATCGAACTGATGAGACCAACCAACCCAAATAACTCGACCCGTATTGCTGAGTTTCTAATATTTCCAGTTGAAATTGTGATTAATTTCGCTGTGGCCATTTGTAAATTGACCAAAATCGAAAGACCCAATCACACACACACACACACACACACACATATATATATATATATATATATTCATATTTTTATATTTTAAATATAATTTTTTAAGATAGGAAAGTGAGGAAATTCCCATATTTTCTTAGTCTCAAATATTTTATATTATAAGTTTATTTTTGAATAATGTTAATATAATTTTTAAAATTTAAAATTAAGTTTTCAATGTAATTTGTTAAACCAATTGAGCAAACCGAAAATCAACCCAAACCAGTACAACCCCCGATTTAGTTTGATTTCACTAATGATCAATAGATTTCGGTTAACCAACTCCCTAACCTGACCATGTCGATTTGGTTGGCCAAATACCCTACAACCGAACTAATTCGGGCCGTGATCAACACTCATAATTTCATATAAATTAATATTTTAATCTCTAAAAAATAAAAGTAGTTTAATCTCCAATAATTATTAAAAATTTATAGCGAAATGCACAATAATTAAAAATCTATTGATAATGAAAATAAAATAAATAACTAATAAAAAATAATTACAATAATACTAAAAATATATTAAGTTAGTCAATAAATATTRTAATCTCAATAATACAATATATAAATACAATAAGTATAAAAAATTAAATAACAGTATTTTAATATCCAATAACTATTAAAAATTTTCTGTTAAATAACAAAAAAATATATATATTTATACATAATTATTCAAAATATATTTATAACAAAACTATAAATAATTTCTGAAAATACAATAAATATTAATTTTRGTATATTAAATAAATAATAAATATAGATTAAGATTTTAAAATCATTATTAATGAATATTATTTCTTTGAAAGCTATTTTCTAGAATTATTAATTGATATAAGTGAAATTAGTATTTTTAAAATATTATTTAGTTATTTAAATAATATCCTTATTTAAATTTTATAATTATAATTATTAATTGAACTTAATAATCTATAAAATTATAATTTATTCTATTACTACATAATTTCATTATTAATTTTGTAAAAATTTTAAATTATTATTAGTTATATTATTTTGTTATGATTTTTTATTTTAATTTTTTTAATTTATTGCATAATTTCGTTATTTTAACTATTTAAAATATACTTATGTTAATTATTTCGTTATTTTAAATATTTAGTTATTTAAATATTTAAATAGTATATAAAATATTTAAAAATACTCATTATTTGAGTGTAAGATATTTAGTCATTGAAATATTTAAATAATATTTTATTTTTTTAATGTTAAATTTCTATTATTTGAAGAATCTAGAAAATCATAATTTATATTGTTAGTACATAATTTCATGATGAAATTTGTAAAAATATAAAACTATTAATAATATGAATTTTATTAAATCTATTATAATTATTTTTTTTGTTTTTCATAATTATTTTATAGTTTATACTGGTATTACATAATTTCATTATTAAT